AACTAACAGAGGTAATATTTATAGCGCTTTACGAGACCATTATTTTTGAAGGGTTATAATTATGCTATTATAGAGTGTATATGTTAACGGGAAATTTACGTCGAGGGAAGTTTACGTCGAGGAAAGTTTACGTAGAATGAAAGTTTACGTCGCGGGGAGTTTATGTCGAGGGAAGTTAGCGTCTCTACAAGTTTACGTCAGAGGTCATGAATCAAGCTCCACCCGGCATTAAGTTGACGTTCATCCTTAAGTATGCAGTCGTCTTGTCTTCGCCCGCTCGTGAGGCGTGACTCAGAGGTAACTGGACTCTGCTTCCTCAAGTGGTCTACACATTTCCGCGCATGAGCTGTCGAGTCTCGTTACATTACATAAACACACGGGGTTGCATGGAGGGAATGGGTCTCTCTCTCTCTCTCTCTCCACTTTTTGGTTTTCAAGTTACTTATTCTTTCCTTTTCTCTCTTTATCGGTCTTTCTTTATCAATCTTCTCTCTTTTACTCAACCATCTCCTACTTCCCTTCCCCTGAGAGAGAGAGAGAGAGAGAGAGAGAGAGAGAGACCTGGGGTTTTGTCATGGCTGTATGTAGAGAGTAATTATTACGACCTTGTGTGTGTATATATAGCACGAGTGTGTGTGTGTGTGTGTGTGTGTGTGTGTGTGTGTGTGTGTGTGTGTGTGTGTGTGTGTGTGTGTGTGTGTGTGTGTGTGTGTGTGTGTGTGTGTGTGTGTGTGTGTGTGTGTGTGTGTGTGTGTGTGTGTGTGTGTGTGTGTGTGTGTGTGTGTGTGTGTGTGTGTGTGTGTGTGTGTGTGTGTGTGTGTGTGTGTGTGTGTGTGTGTGTGTGTGTGTGTGTGTGTGTGTGTGTGTGTGTGTGTGTGAGAGAAAGTGAGATATATCAGGTTTTGTCTCGTGTCCTATAAATCTTTAGGGGTATGAAGACGTGTGTGTGTGTGTTTGTGTGTGTGTGTGTCTCTGTGTCCTTGTGTCTGTCTGTGTCCTTGAGTCTGTCCGTGTCTCTGTGTGTCTGCCCCTGGTGAAATAAAGTACAATAATGTGTGTGCAAATATTCCTGGCTCCATTATTCTCATGCTCCTCAGAAAATTGTCTTGACGGGGGGAAGCATATTAATTTGCCCCCTGTCCTTGTGTTTGTTTATACGTCCTTCTCAACCTGGCTGGCACAATATCGTGTAAACAGGTGTCGTAGGCGAGTGAGATTTACATTAGGTTTATAGGTATATAATTTTCAAAACAAGTGACAAGTGAAAATAAAAGGACTTTGACTTTTATTTACTTTTATTATTGGAATATTACTTATACCTTCCATCTCCCTACCTGCCTCCTCTACCTACCTACAACCTATCTCTCCTTCCCTCCTCCCCCTCCCTGCCTTCTTCACTCACTTCACCTACCTAATACTGATTAAGCCACACCACTCGCTGCATCAACCAAGGTGGTGGTTATATATATATTGCCCTCTTACGCCTGGTAGTGCCAAGTGAACCACTGGTAGCGTTCACCAGGCGAGTGTCACTTGACGTATTGACACGACAGATAAGACGAAATTATCTGCCTGGACGAAATTAGCCGAGTAGACATTTAGTCATGTTGTCGCTGGTGGGTGGTGGAAATGGATGGGTGGCGGAAATGAGTGGGTGGCGGAAATGAGTGGGTGGGGATGATTTTCGGGTGGATCGTGGACGGGGGGGGGGAAGGTGGAGGAGGAAGGAACATTGGCTGTTGGTGTTGAAGTGTATCAAGGTGGCGATTTTGTCTTCAGAAGCAAAAATACGTAGGATTCGATTCCACCTTAAGTCATGATGGGTTTAGGGTAAATATAGAAGATTCGATCGCTTGTTTGATTGACGTTTTCGAATCATTGTTTGTTTCAACGTTGTTTAGATGTAACACACAGTAATACGTGAAGGAATGACTATCTAAAACAGCCCCTGACTGTCTTGGCGCGTTGTGTACAGGTGACAGTAAAATAAATGAAAAGTTAAACTAAAATTAGATAATTGTTAAAGAAAGAGATAAATAAAAGATAATAATAAACGATACACGAGAATTTACAAAACAAAATAAGTTACTGTATACTCAAGGGACCAGGTGAGGGAAGAGGTGCACTTTAATACTCGAACTTGACCTTGGCTGACCTTGGCACCTCTCACCGGGATATCTGAACGTAATATATGCCAATTCTAAGTATGCTAACCCTTATGAGTGTTTCTGTAGAGCTGGGGGTGACTTAGAGACAAATAGAAGAACAATTACAAGGATGTTCACTGTACACTGCCCACCCACCCATACTTTGTCACACTGTAATGAAAATATGGGTTAAATTAAGAAGAAAAGGACATTTGGCCACTATGTCCAAATTTCAGCTTCCTAATCAAAATGTACCTGAGATATTACCCAGATAATTACGAAAAATAAACAAAATTGCAATCACTGAGCATCTTACCTTTCCAAGTACGCGCTTCGTGTGGTACCTTGAGACTGAATAAGGGGAGGAGGGGGGAGGGGGGGGGTGTACAGCAGACGGATGTAGTTAACTGCGTTGTTGTTGTTGTTCCCTTGATGACAAAAACAATAAATAAACGGTATGAGGTATAAGACATAGCGGTGTAGGGTGACAAAAACCAGCCACCAGCCAGATTCGTTCCCACAGTTAGTCTCCCTCAAGGTCCCGCTGTGTAGGTAGTTCCTCACACTCCCTAAACTCCCTTAACGTACACCCTTCTCAAGACCTTATGAGACCTTAAGCTAGTATAAAGAGGTTAATATTTTCAACTTTATTCTCGTTGTTGTGAAGTAAGGACACACGACGTTGATGATGGAGGTATATAATATTTTCAATCTCTGTTGGTTGATGTCATGAGGCCTCTGGGGTCATGTACAAGGGACGTGACGCAGATAACCTCACCCTACATGGCTGTGTGGTGATCGTGTTGGTGTTGTGGTGCTTCTCTCTTATGGTGAGGTTGTGTTAACGTTCATGTCGTGTTATGGTGATGTGTTGATATTCACTGTGTGTGTGTCGTTTGGTGAAGTTAATGCAGTAGAATCACTGTTAATCTCACTGACAATAATAATAATAATAATAATAATAATAATAATAATAATAATAATAAAGTAATTAGACAGCGACTTTGTATGGGACTTGTGTGTTTACTTTTTGTTTACATTTAATATCGAAAGACACCAAAGTCTCTGGGTAACAGCTGGGTAAGTGTACACCTGAGCGAATACGCCCACCCCCTCTTACCATCTTTCCTCCCCTCCCTCTCCCTCCATCCTACCTTCCTTCCCACCTTACCCTCCCTCTCCCTCCTTCCTCTCCCTCAAGGCGTGGAGGATGGGGCCAGGGCAGCTGTACTACCCTCCGCTAGACGGCTGTATCCCCCCTGCATTAACTGTCTCCAGGAAGGTCTTATGATTCACGAGTCTTATCTTTAGTGTCAGGAAGTTTGAGTTACTGGGAATAAAAAGATCTCGTATTGAAGGGGTTAAAAAACACCGAACTGAAAAGGAATCAAAATAACGTACGTGATAGGTAGAGTTCTCGTCCTATAGTACATAGAGGTCATAGGGAGGAAGAAGATAATGACAAACAACATAGGGAGGACTTACTCATCGCCTACATACAATAAATAATAGGGATAAAAAGGAGAAATAGGAGAGAAATAGAGGAGGAAAAAAACAGGATGATTTAATAATAAGGGAGGGAGGGATCATGAGACACACACACACACACACACACACACACACACACACACACACACAGGAACTCTATCCTGGTTCTCATGACACCCTCAAACCGGGTTCCAACCCCTCCCCCTCCTCCATGCCCCCTCCCCTCCTCACAACCCTCCTCACAACCCTCACAACCTCTCACAACCTCCTCCTCACAACCTCTTCACACCCCCTCACAACCTCTCCTCAATACTACCTCTCACTACTCTCCTCATAACCCTCAACACAACTTCCCTGACTCTCAACCCCCAAGACGAATGTAAATTAAGAGTGAATGGTTAAAGGAGAGACGAGGGGCGGAAATAAAAATAATTACAATATGATGGAAGTGTTGTGGTGGTGGTGAAGAGTCGGGAGTGTTTGAAGCAGTGTCGGATCTCTCTCTCTCTCTCTCGTGTGTTGGTTCGGAGAGTCGACCTGTCCTCTTGCCGTTTCGAACTTGATTATCAGTGTACTAAAGGGATCTTACTTCATTATAATCGTGGTGTTAGGAGGAGCGTTGCCATAAGGAAGACCTGGACTTTAACGTTGCCATAAAGATGACCTGGGTCTTAACGTTGCCATACCGAAGACCTAGCCTGATTATTTTGAAAAACAATCAGAAATATCCCCCTTAACGATTGAAATCAGTAGTTGCCATATCTACATAATCTCCCTTGCGATTTGAGAGAAGTTAATTGCCATCGCGTATATAATCTTAATGGCAACTTAGGAGAGAGAGAGAGACTCCTTTAATACAACAGGTGTAAGGCACAGTGCCAAGTCCTGGTGTAAGTTATGGTGGCACTCCTCTCTCATTTTTTCTTCTTCCTTATATCGTTTACTTGAGTGAGGCATCGGATGGAATTAGCCGAGGTATATTTGCCATATCGTTGGCTGCTTCCTGACACCAAAAGGTATATGTTGGAGGAGGTAAATTTCTTACCTTTGGAAATAATCTTGGAGGTAAATATTATAGTCTTGGAGATAATAATTATTGTCTTGGAGGTAATAATCAGTCTTGGAGGTAATAATCATTGTCTTGGAGGTAATAATTATTGTCTTGGAGGTGAAAATTATGGTCTTGGAGGTTTTAAAAAAAATTATGGTTTATTTTCGTAAGGGGTTCAAGGGTTCGGGGGTTCGATATTGGTTTCATACTCGATTGAATCTGAATCCCGAAACTTTATTGGTTATACTTAAGAAGTGAAGGTGTTGTCAGGTGTGAGGAAATTTATGGTGTATAATTATTTCAGAAAGGTGATAATTAATGCCGCTGTGAAAGGTATATAACTGAGACTGATAGAAAACATTTAATAAACATAATTCTGGTGTTTACTTATCAAATAATTGAAATTAATTAGAATTTTACTGAAACATATGGGATTGTTGTTTGAAAATAAATACAATACTACCTGTGAATTTTGACTATAGGTTATAGAAGAAAGTATTAAGAATATATACTTTGAATTCAGTTACTAGAAAAAAATACTATTAGATTTGAAAACGAAGTAAAGAAAATTTAATTGGAAAATATTATTATTTTTATCACCACGAGTTTGAAAAAAAAAAGTGAAAATTAGTTGAGAGTTGAAAGTATCGACGATGGTGTGAGGACGGTGGATGTGTTGATGTCATGAGTCGGGGGCACTGAGGCGTGGGGCACCTAGTGTGGAGCCTGTAGGTGTTGGGGGGGTCATCATCGTCTGTGAGCCACGGGGGAAGAGGCTGCAGCATGGACACCCCCATCAGGTTACTCTTCCACACCTCCTGACGGCGACAGTCCTACTACTACTACTACTACTGAACTGTTGGAGGAGTGGGTTGGCGAGGTGGTAGCGGCCATGCGAGGGGACGCTATGTTACGCTACCTCACGCCTACCTCGGTGGTGAGGGAGAATGGTACTTGTGAGACGGTCACCATCGACCTTGAGTTCTGGGTAAGTTGTGGCTCCTGGTTCCTCGTCTTCTCTTCCTCCTCCTCCTACTCTTTTTCCCCCTCCTCCTCCTCTTTTCCCCCTCCTCCTCCTCTTTTTCCCCCTCTTCCTCCTCTTTTTCCCCCTCCTCTTCTCTTTTCTCATTCTTCCTCATTCTCCCCCTGCTATTCCTTCTTCTCCTCCTCCTTTTCTTCCTCCTCTCCCTGCTCATGAGTTCTGAGTAAGTTGTAACTCAAGGCTCCTCCTCCTGCTGTTGGTAGAGACTCATTTATTTGTTGATACTACCTGCTACCTGGAGTTTACTAAGAGGCAATTCCAAGGACTGATGTTGTAACAGATCGGTCGATGGTAAGTACAATTTGTCTGTCTATCTGTCTGTGTCTGTCTGTCTGGTGAGTACAACATGGCAGATCACGAGGTGCTCTGGGATCACAGTCATACAATTCATTGCTCATTACTGTGATTTAACCACTTGTTCTCTGTCACCTTCTACCACACTTCACCACACTTTATTACCTCCTGTACCTCAGCTCCACACATTATGCTCCTTGTCACATTAACATCACATTTTGTCTTACTTACTTCGTCACTTAACCTAACCTAACCTGACCTGACCTTACCTGACCTGACACTTGACGCCACCAAGGAGAGTATAAGAATATTTGAGAGATTCTTACGTTAATTTTTCTCACTGTATCTGATGGTGAGAGAATGTATCTAATTATGTGTGATTGTTGTGTTATTAATACCTCCTTGTTTGTGTTCTAATCCTATCCTAATCCTAACCTAACTACCCTCATGACCTGCCACCCTTTGCCCTGCCACCCTCTCGTCCTGCCACCCTCCCCGCCCTGCCACCCCTCCCACCCTGCCACCCCCCTCCCCCTGCCACCCTCCCGCCCTGCCACCCCTCCCGCCCTGCCACCCCTCTCGTGCCACCCCTCCCGCCCTGCCACCCCTCCCACCCTGCCACACCCTCTCGTCCTGCCACCCCTCCCCGCCCTGCCACCCTCTCGTCCTGCCACCCCGGCCCTACCCCCCGCCTGCCACGCCCTGCCACCTCCTCTCGTCCTGCCACCCCTCCCGCCCTGCCACCCTCCCGCCTGGCCCTGCCACCCCCGACCCTGCCACCCTCCGCCCCCCTCCCGCCCCCCACCCTCTCGTCTGCCCCCCTGCTACCCTCCCGCCCTGCACCCTCCGCCTGCCACCCTCTCGTCCTGCCACCCCCCTGCCACCCCTGCCACCTCCCGCCCTGCCACCCCTCTCGTCCTGCCACCCCCGACCCTGCTACCCTCCGCCCTGCCACCCTCCCGCCCCACCACCCACCCTCCCGCCTGCCCACCCTCCCGCCCTGCCACCCTCTCGTCCTGCCACCCCGACCCTGCTACCCTTCTGTCAGCACCTTCGTCAAACACAACTGAAGGATTTGTTTCTACTTCCCCTCACGTATGTGTGTACACCTTAACCCTGGGTGTAGTTGTGTGACCCATGACCCATTTGTGACCCATGACCCATTAGTGACCCATGACCCATTTGTGACCCATGACCCATTTGTGACCCATGACTCATGTACATCTCATTTAAATTACCATTTTGTGTATTATAAATGTAATTGAGCATTTAAAGCTTGTATTTTTATCTAGTAAATTTAACTGACAGTGGTAATAGACTTGTCAGATGATCGATAGTTGTAAGTATTCCAAGATATTTTACCGTTGCTTCTATAATGTTAAAAGATAAGATGTCAACAGTAAAATATATGGTTAGGACATGTGACGTTCAATTTATTCCCGCTAGAGTCCACTTGTTGTGTCGTAAGCTCAAACGAATAGAAACACCTTTGATATATTAACAACTCTCCTAATATTTGCTCCCAAGAACCTGTCATAGCTGTGTTTTATGTGAAGTTTAAGTCAGTCAAGTCCGATATAAACCACGACCCACATATTACCAAGCCACTGCCCCCGGAACCTATCATTATTGTCGTGGTTAGAGCCGGAACCACGCGAAACCCTCTTACTACACCTGCAGGCTACCGAGTATACCTTCCCCGTTACATCATCTCAAACCAAAGAAATCTGAAATCCCCCAAAAAAAAATATATAATTGCTCTTGCACTATTAAGTCACATAGTAGCCATTAATCCTTGCTGTGTCGTAAGCTCAAACCAATGTATATAGCTCCCCTCCCTCCCCTCAAAAAAAAAGTATAACCTCGCTATAAAATGCTATTAATTCACTTCCACGCAGCCATTAATCCTTGCTGTGTCGTGAACGGTGGAAAAATGTGAAGTGGCAGCCAGTCTGTGCAAGGTGGCTGTGCTGATGGTCATAAATCAGCGTGGTCGTGATGGTACACAAATCGAGTAATTACGAGTGTTGGTCTCTGAGCGAGGGGTAGGGGTGTATGGTGAGGTGCAAGGGTTGGTAGGGGTGTGTGGCGAGGTGCAGGGGTGTCTGGAGAGGTGCAGGGATGTGTGGCAAGGTGCAGGGGTGCTTGGCGAGGAGCAGGGGTGGGCAGGAACTGATTAATCTATTCTGAAAATGCTGAGTTAGCTAGTCTTGCCCTCTTGTTACTACTGTGTGATGGTACCCCTTGCCCTCTGCCGTTCATTATTTCCCCTCTGCAACTGGGGCTATGTTCCTCACTTGCCCCCCCATAGAGATCCTGTGCACATATGAAGAGATAATTAGTGCACGTTCACCATAGGTTTAGTTTACACCTGTGACATAACCATCTGTGCACATAAGTGAACCCGTGTGCACTAGGAGGAACCAACAACCCAATCTTGTGCACTTAAAGCGAACGTTCTGACTCAACTTAAAACACACTTGGGAGGTCCGTCGTATCCTCGGTGAAGACAATTACCACGGTGAACTAACTCGTGAAAATATACCATGGTAACGGGAGACGACGATTGTTTAGAGTAGTGATGTGTTCTCTCGGGTACTTGTGAGGGAGTTAACGGAGTAGGGAGGAGTGTGGCCCGTCAACACTTGTACGAACTGAGAGGAGAGGAGGGGGGGGAGTTCCTGCCTGTGACTAAGACTTGAGACCATGTGTGTGTGTGTGTGTGTGTGTGTGTGTGTGTGTGTGTGTGTGTGAACAGGCAGTATTTAAGTTATGTGATCTCAATCCCTGGCACGTTTCTATTACTTACATCACCATGAACGTACACTTACTTGCATCACCATGAACGTACACATTCTTGCATTACCATGAACGTATTTGCATCACATTCTTAGGTATTTTAAGTTTCACAGTTACTCGTTCTTCCTCAACCTGTTAAGAGGATAATCACTTCACATGTACTAAAGTGAGGATAATCACTTCACATGTACTAAAGTGAGGATAATCACTTCATCACAGACCCTTGAACACCTTGTAGGAGATGGTAATTAGGAAGGTAAGTGAAGCGAGATTAAGACGTCACCTTTATTCTAATAGTGAGGAGGGAGGGGAGGGGCGGGGTGGGGTGGGGTGGGGCGGGGTGAACTAATTTGCTGTAGCGTTTCCCAGGGTGTATTTATGTGCCGTTTGTTGTGGCGCTGGAGATTCATGGACGTCACAATCATCATCGCTTCTATTGCTTTTGTGAAATATCCTATGGCCTTTAAATCCTATGGCCTTTAAAAACTGTCCTGGTAGAATTTTAGTCAGCCAGTCAGTAAGCTTAACAGTTAACCCTGCCAGCCATTTAACCAGCCAGTCAGTAAGTGTACCAGTCTACCGACCAGCCATCGTCCTTGTAATGGCAGTGAGACGACCATTCTGACCAGCCAACTGTTTTAAGCCAGTCAGTTTGTTATTCTATTATCCAACTATCTCAGTCAACCAGTGAGCTTCCTTCCCAATCTGCTTAAAATCCAGTCAGTATCCAGTCATCCACTCAGCACTCCCGACCGTCTATCCAGCCTGTCCCTGTTGTGCTCAGTGGTCAACCTTTTACAAGAAACATAATTTATTGTGGTGTTGGTTGGTTGGTTCTTGCCCCGGAGTCTGTAAGGCTGTGTGTGTTATTTACGGGTGTTTCTGTTTTGGTTGAGGGGGAGCTGTGGGCGGCTGGTGGACAATACTGTGTAAATATTCATGTAACATAGTTTAAAATGTAAATTGAATATTATTTAAATTTATCTGCGTGACGTTGAGTAATTTTATAGTTCAGGGAGAGGAGGCACCGAGTCCTGATTTAGCGAGGTTTTGACTTATGAATAAACTACGATATTTTTTTTTACATTAGTATATATTGTTAGATTTTTTGTATTATAAACTTTGTCAGATGAAGGTTAAATTGACCTCTCGTAGGAACAAAATTAACTAGTACTGGTATTAGGTTTTAGTATTGTTTATTAACATAGAGATAACGAGTCAGCTTTGCAATATTGATTCTATGAGGTTTAATAGTACCGCAGGTGTGTGTTGACCCAGCTGCAGGGTTCAAGAAGACTGACTGGGCCAGGTTTCAGTGTTGTTTATATACTTAAGACGGATGCTGGGGCGAAATGATGTGAAGTGTATGACATTTAATAGCAACGGAGTGTCATAGTGACCCAGGTGGAAGGTTCAAGTGGGTTTAAGGGTAATTTAAGCGTGAGAGAGGCGGGCACGGGGGCGAGGGAGTGAGAGCATCTTGATAAGCACATGGAAGGCGGGGGCTACCTTGGCCGGGCCGCCACACTGACGCCACGGTACCCACCCTGCGCCTCGCCCCGGGTCTGCTGCCTCCTCCCCACCACCTCTCCTCCCCACCACCACCCTTACACCCTCCTCCCCACCCTTACATCCTCATCCCCACCACCCCCTCATCCCCTCGCTGCTTTAAGACACCATTAAACTCTACCGTGCCAGATGGGGAGAGATAAGAGGCGACTGTGTTGATGTACTGTACGTCACTGTGGCCAAGAGTGTTGCTGGAGGGAAAACGTAACCCAAAGGGACATTGGCAGGTTGCCCGGCCTCCCTGACTCAACCTCGTCCCCCTCCCCTTCCTTACCCCTTCCCCT